GCCGAGGGAGGGAGGGCGAGAGACAGAAAGAGGGAGGAAGAAAGTGGGTTACCACAGTGGGTCATGGCTGCTTGAAATAGCCGCCCCAATGCCTCTCCTCCCTCTACCTGCCTCGCTCCCGTCAGTACCTCTGCACAGGTAGTATATTTAGCCCCGAATTTTACAGCCCTACAGCACGGGGGTAAAGTGGGACGAGACTGTCTTACTGAGTTAATAAAGGCGTTTGTGGCGCTGTGAGTCAAAGCTCCAGTATGTGCTTCAGCATTAGTGTGTGTGTCTGTGTGTGTGCATATGAGTGAGTCATAAAGGGAGAAAGACAGAGAGAAAGAGAAGGGAGCGAACCTTTGTTCTCTACCTGTGAAGTGGACCTTTACAGGCAGGGAGAATATTACACATCTACTCTGCACATTATCTGCAGTTTTCAAAGTGTTTGTGTCTGCCAGCGTGCGCTTTGTGTGTGTGTGTGTGTGTCTGTGTGCATTTGTAACTTTCCAATCTTGTTTGTTCTGTCAGCATGTAAGTACGGATGTGCATGTTCGCTTCTGTGTGTGTGTGTGTGTGTGTGTGTGTGTGTGTGTGTGTGTGTGTTAGTGCTTGAATGTGCGAATGTCTCCCCGGGGAAGAGAGCGAGTCCATCCAGCAGTGTACTCACTTCCTCTCCCTCTCCGCTCGCTCTCTCCATCTCCCTCCTACGACTTGTTCTCTCTGTGTTATGAAAGTGACCCATGTGGGTGTTATTGAGAATGAGTGAGCGAGGATTTGTGTATGTGTCTCAGCTGGTGTGTGTGTGCCGGTGTCTTTGTGCGACTCCGCTAGCGAGGCCAAACTCATGTAATCAAGTGTATTGCCTCTAATATTTTAGATTAAGGGTATTAGGGGCGGCACGAGTCAATGCAGCCCATGAAATTTGACACTCACTGCCAGAATCGAGTTATGACAAAATGTCGGCCTTCTTAAAGCGTTCATTGATTTTCCTCTCTTTTTTTTTTTTTTTTTTGATCTTTTGTCTTTCCAAGCTGTGGCAAATTGTGTAAAGGCCCTCAGTGATCTCTGTGAGTGTTCAGGAGTGTGCATAGGCACGTCCAAGTGTGTGTGTGTGTGTGTGTGTGAGAGTGTGTGTCAGCGCCAGTCCAGATCTCTGTCCATTAATGGTGTGAGATATACTGTAGCTCTGGCTTTGCTCCAACTGGAGAAGGACACGGGATGGTTTTGTTTGATACAGCAGATATATGAGGAAGTGTGTGTGTGTGTGTGTGTGTGTGTGAGTGTGTGAGAGAGAGAGAGAGAGAGAGAGATGGAGATGAATTGACATTACCAGTGTGTCCTCTCTGTGCACATATGGACACAGTCTGGGTGTGTGTGCCTGTCTGTGTCCATGTGTCGGCATTCATGCATATATTCTTTTATTTTTGTGATCGTTCATGCATAAATGTCCCTTGTCTGCGTGTGTGTGTCTGTATGAGAGAGAGAGAGAGAGAGAGACAGAGCTGCTGAGATGAATGCCCCCCTCCCCTTCTTCCAATGACCATTCATCTGTGGAGGTGAGAGGGAGACGGCACATTACGGCGCTTTTAGTCTGGGCGATGGAGTTTATTACAGGTGACCACACTTACAGCTCAGTGCCCACTAAAGACACTGGCAGCATGACTTAAATGGCTTTATATAATAGATTAAATGGGTCAGTTTAATGTAAATTGAATAGCAAAAGTTTTACCGCACGAAAAAAAAAAAAGACACTTGTCTGTGACTTCTTAAGGTTGTTCAAACTTCAGCGTCCACACCGAGAAGCACACGGAGCGCGTTTCCGACCTGTGACCTTTGGGCTCCCATCGATCTGTTTGCCTTTTCCTTCAATCGCCAAAGTCAGACGGCACGAGTGCAGCGTCGCACTTATAGGTTGAAGTATGAGAACTGACAACGACCTTACCTCGGGACCAATGTCGATTAGGGAATGTTTAGAGCCCCAGAGTGAATTGTTGCAGCTGACTGAACTGTGTGCACCCTTGGGCGAGGTGCTTAGCCCATCTGACATAAGTGTTAGGCCCGTTGGGCAGAGGGTTGACCTGGAAAGGAACGCTCATAATTCAAGGTATGAAAACACACTTCGGAGAGGAAATGAACCCTGCAGGTAGCTTCCTATGGAAGCTAAATATAGCACAGTTCATTGGGTCCAGAAGTGAACTGTAACTCTGTCTACACTGTGACATTACTTCACCTCCACCTCGACAACCAGAAGCAAGAATCACAGTGACGACATGATGATAAACTGTACACATTAATTTGTGGCTATGAGCACATGCGTTTGCCTTATCTGCAGTGTCCAAGCACACAGTACAGGTATATAAAATATGCACTTAAGCTGCGAGACTTTCTTTTATTTGCATTTAAAACAAATTTAAATTGTAGTGGTAAAACATCGAAACAATTTTGTTGGAACTTCTAAGGGCCTGTAAATCCATCATTGTTGATGTAGACGTGTGGAAGCTGCCCCCAAAAGTGAGAGTGATGCGTCGCGCAAGTGTTCCCAAACTGCGTCATTAGATAAACAAAGTTCAACTTTTGGAACACAGCAGCGCACATCCAGGGTTTCCTACAAATTCATTTATGTGTGGCAGGCCGGCACGATTAAAATATCTGCCACCATGTTAAGATTTTCTATTTTCGGAGCTGGACCGTTCATTAGGGGCGCCTTAGGAATATATATATATGTTATACCGCTTGGTTATTATTTGCTCCACAGATGGAGTGCACAGACGGAGCAGCAGAACAGCAGGTGCAGTGAAAGTGACACGTAACCTTCAGTGACTGATCGGATCAACGGATCATTTATTCACCCCAAAACTCAAAACTCCACTCAAAACGCTTTTTACACTACAAGTCACATTCACCCATTCACACACACAGTCACACTGGTGGCCGAGGTTACCATATAAGGTGCCACCTGCTACTCAGTAACCATTCACACACACTCACACGCTGGTGGAGCAGCCACCAAGAGCAATTTGGGCTTCAGTATCTTGCCCAAGGATACTTTGAGATGCCAACGTGCAAGGTACCCTGGGTATGTTGGTTGCTGGTTGTCTTGTTGACGAGATGCCATGTCAAGTTGTCTTCTTTCAAACTACACTTCTGTTTTCACAGGAAATTTAACGTTTACACACAGTCTCTTTCAAAATAAACGCACTACGTCGGTATGACGCTACGAACTGACGTTTTTTTCCTTCAACAACAAACACACGTGGTTAGGTTTAGGAGAAAAGAGAAAAGAACATTGTCTGGCTTTAGAATCTTACGGGACGCGAACACCGCTCTCTTGGGTGAAAGTCGGTGTTTGTTGGACCCATCCATTACCCCTCAGGCCCATACCACTCAGACTTTCACCGTCTTAACTTTCATCCTTGTCCTGCCGCATTTCCCTCTGATGCCGCTGGGTGCCATTAAACTATAACGGCAACCGATTGCGTATCATACCGATGTTAAAGGACACCTTGTTTGGTTGGTGTCTGACGCCGCAAGTCACTGCCCAAGCACTGGATTTTGATGACCTGCTCTACCCCTGCGCCACAGCTGCCTCACTGCACATCACATATCATGTGTCAGCAGATATCTTTCCTTTCTTCCATAAATATCAGTCTGAGGTAAAAGTGGGGGAGATGCTGATTATTTTAGTGCAGAGATACCCACAGCTTCACGGTCAGTCTCACAGACACTTAAAAAACGTCTGGAAGATCAGCTACAAACTTTTCAAGTAAGTAGGCTATGACACGTTGCTAGTTATGTTCGCTTAGCAAATTCAGGTGCAACCTGCCTCTGCCCCTTGAAAGTTGTCATTAAAGTAGCACCCAAGTAGCATCTTCATTTTCCAAGTGGTGAAACACATGGAATGTGTATGAGCCCTAGAGTGTTAGATTTTACCAAACTATCTCTGAATTTAAGCAAGACCAAATTCACCATCTTTAGCAACTGTGAATAAATTTACAAAGCAAACTTCTAATAAGTGACGCGGAAATGTAATTTTTTGGGAGGGATTATAGATAACAAATTATGTTGGCAACCACATAGAAATTATATCAAAGCAAAAATGTGACAATCTATTGAATTACTGTACAAAATTAAGGACTTAACACACACAAGATACCTAATGTGTGCGAGTATGGGGAAACATTCAATTCCAAAACCACTTTCTATACTTCAAAAGAGAGCTATATGAATTATGACAAAAACAACTTTTCAAGAACCAACTGAACATTAAGGCATCTCAAATCCTGAGGAGTCTTTTTCCTGTTTTAGTAATTTAAAGACAAATATAAAGCTGCCTGCTTAGAGTGGCTTGCTGGCAGTTGTAGCGTAGGGTAGGTGTAAAATGGGCACGCACAATAAGCTTCAGCTGACACCTCTTCAGTGAGTAGGACAACAAGTCTCTGTTTTTCACATTGTTTTCTACTAAACTGTTTTGCTGGGAGTCAAAGTTTTATTGTTTGTTTTTTTCTATTTTCAGAACTTGTTGAATACATTTCAATTTTCACTTCTGCGCCAAAGCTGGCTGCTTGGTGCACCAAAGCCTACTCTGTAATTGGAGCATTTTCTGCCTCAAATGAAGGGAAAGAAGTCATTCTACTTTTCTTGCCTGACTCACTGCCAAATATGTCTTTCCGCAGCATACAGTACTCCACTACTCTGACGGCCCAAATGTCTCAACGACACCTTTTAAACAGAAGTAATAATAAGATGGTGCTGCAAAGTGTGAATTAGGTGCAATCTTCATTTGCACACTTTGCCAACAAACTTCTAATGAGACCATCGTGTCATTTACACATGCATGACCACGACGAGCACAAAGAGGCCGTACTTGATGACCTGCAAAATCTGGCAGCTTTCCACAGACTGAACAGCTTTCAGAGTTGTGTGCTGGTGTGTATCTGTCTAATACATTACACACAATTACTGACAGAACAGGCTGCCAAAATAAAAGTGACAGAGATGCTGAGGTATCGCCTCACCTCTCCCACCATGCCGTTCCACGTCCCGTTGATCTTCTTGCCGTGTTTGCCGTTTGTGACAAGGTAAAGGTCGTAGGTGAACTTCACAGACTTGGCGATCTTCTTGAGGATGTCGATGCAGAATCCTTTACAGCAGCGCTTTATGTAGATCCCTGAATCCTTCGTCTGATTGCTGCGTAGGTGGATATACAGGTAGACAGACAGATAGTTATTTAATCAGATATGTACTTCTGTCCGAAACTGGCATGAATTGTTAATTGCGGTCGTGATTTGGTGTATCTGGCACTGTCACTCTCACACCGATGAAGTGTGAACTGATTCTACCTCTGGCTCTGCAAAGCTGTCGTGGGAAATTAACATCGTTCACAGGCAAAATTTGGGCAGTTTTTTTCCTTTTCATTTCTGCTCTGGTCAGTCCTGCAGTGGTCAGATCTGTGAGTCACTGTTGATGTGTGCTGAATTACATTTTCACAATAATCTGATGTATTTTTCTTCTTGACATGCATCCTCATTCTTGTTTCTCAGACATTTTAACCTCGATTCTAGGGCTATATTTTTGGAGCTTCCGTTGAGGTTTTCAAATGAGGCTCTGAATGTCTGTCATCATATTTTATGACATCATCACCCTGAAAGAACAAAAAATCCTCAGAGGGAATCCTCAGTTTGATTAAACTGATTTACTGGGTTAAATGAGTTTGTCCATTTTTATTCAATCAACTGTCTTTAATGAACAAATGTAATTTATGGTTATGTCAGATTGCTGTCAGACTGCCCTGTTAATACAAGTGCGTGCAGCAAACGGGAAAGCAAACAGTTTTTGGATTGCAGTGAAAGTGTTGTTACTGAAAAGCTTAATGCTGACAAATAAAGATAAGATACAGATATACAGATAAAAAACATGTTGGGAATTTTTTAAATGATTCTGTTTTGTATCGTAAATGTTGACTTTTGGACTTCACAACTCTCTGGAGTTATTAGTAATGTTTGTATCACATGAGTCAGGAACACTCCTACACAGCCACCACTGGCATCTAATCCTGTAAACAGTATAATACTAATAATATTAGTGCAACCTAATCTCTATCTGCAACTGTGCAGAAATACCGGGTTTAAACAGAATGAATAGGCATGCAAAAAAGCGTTTATATGTTGATTTGGAATTCGAATGTCAGCGGCGACCCGGATAGTTCCCTCTTTGATGATTAGATACAAGTGGCCTGGTCACAGTTGCAGGAAAATGTGGTTATGAGACAAAAGATCGATCAATTCGGGCTATGTGGCGGTGCTGAATGTCTGATTTTACATAGAACTGCTTGGTTTCTCCCAAAAAATCATAATATATAACCTATTCTGGTATACATGTATTAATCAGAGCACTCACATAAGAACATGGTGCTCACAGAAAGCTAAACATTGTTAACAACCACAGAGAGCAAGCAGGAACTGAACTAAATAACGGGTTCTGTCAGTTTGCTATCGATCTTTCACGCTCCCTCTCAGCACTACAGACAGCACCGCACCTACACATGCAGCCCTGAAACACAACAAACAGTGCTGGATGGAGTGCGTAGTACGATAAAATAAGTTCTTATGCCAAATTGTTTAATTGGGTGTTTCAGCTCTTTTTCTGGGGTGGAAAAAAAGGAAACTAATGTCACAAAGGAGAATATGGATCACTGAGGAAAATAAAAAACACAATTTGACTATCAGTTGACCGTAGGCAACACCTGACGTATCAGATCTGACGATGTAAATTCTTAGCCAGGGACAGCCCTAGTGAGGATTAAGGTCCTGATCACACAGAAAGTGCTTTAGCAGCTGGAGAGAGCTTTTTGTTTTGCATTGCCTCGCACTTCCGGTCCTAGGCGCCTGGCGTTTTTGCTGGAGCGCTCTGAACCCCTCGAGCTGAAAAAAGCAGGAAAAAAGCACCCCACGTCATCTCTTTTTCCCCATTGTTCAATCAGATGATTTGAGAGGCAGGCCTTCTGTGGTGGTCACGACAACAAGATTATAGTTGGTGAACAATGGAGGAGAAACTGGTGGTAGCTGTTGCTGGTTACTCATACGGCCTGATGATAGACAGCAGGTTGTCAAACTGCCCCCGAGTCATCCTAAAATATGCCTGGAAACGTCCATGATGGAGGACAAGCTCCTGGACCAACTGGTGGTACTCCACGTGACCCACCCTCTTTTTTAGGGTCTCATGTATCCACACAGATCTCTGTTTATCTGCTGACAGCCTCTCACCCTCAACCAGAGCTACAAACAGTACCCTCTGGCTCAACATTTTAGGAACTAGATACTAATTACTGTTGATTCTTACTTACTATTACTGATTCTGACTCTGAGTTGGAACATCTGAGCTGTAACTCTTACAGTGTTTTGATCTGTTTCCGACAGGGCACAGTGTTTCTCATGCAGGTCCCGCTGAGCGGATCCACGTCTTCCACGATGACGAACGGAGCCTCCTCCAACGTCACGATGGACAGGTGGTCATCCTCCCTGGTTGCTGCCCCCCCATATAGTTCATAGCGAGGCCACACATGGTACTTCATGGACAGGGAACCGTTCTCCCATTTACCCACCTGCAGAGACACACGGCAAACAAAAGTGATTCAGACTGCCTTAAAAATATCAGTGTCAGTAGGTTTTTTTGTGGCGAACTTCACACCTCTTCCTAACTGGACGGGATGCAAATGAGAGAACTTCAGATTCAGTTTTTCCCAAAGAAACTGTCCTAACCTGACACCAAAGTGAGGTATTGCTCGCCTGGGCTCTATTTTTTGTGCACTTCCAACATATTTTCAGAGCAAAAGCAAGACCTTCCTTAGGCTCGATCAGGGCTCATAGGCTCCCTGAATGTTTTCCTCACTAGTAGTATATCTGGACATTTTTACGCGCTCCATCTGCGTACAGAAGGGGAGGAGTTATACTATTTGATAGCCACAGGTAGAGAAGATCTCCTATAAATAATATAAAAACATGAACTCAGATTATACTCCACGCTGCAATTACTCCGGTCCCTCAAAACTAACCACAGATCTGCTCTTACAAACTGTTGAAACACATCACCAATAACACACTGTAGACTTTGAATACTTGTTACGCAAAAACATCTCACTCCGATTCGGCTTTTATTGCCTTATTTTCTGTGTTTCTGGGTTTAACTGTGATTAGTCCATCTGTCAATAAAATGACAATAAGGTAGCAAATGAACAGAAGAATTTTATGGCTGGTAATAAAATATACAAGTGAACACTGTGACACGGGAAGTTAGTGAGAGGAGGAGGAGAAGAGACAGGCGAGGCGAGGCGAGGAGAGGATTGGGACCCAGAGTGGAGAATGAGAACAAGGTTAACGGGAAGGACGAGACTGAAACAGGGGAAAGAGCAGAATTCAGATCAAGAGGAGAGGGTGGAGACAGAATTGGATGGAGAGACTAAACGAGGAGACAGAGAGATATGAGAAATGGCTGCGATTGTAGAGAAAGAAAGGGTCGGGTGAGTGTCTGCGTGACGGGGAGGGAAAGTCAGAGATGGAGCTCTTTCACATGCAAAATGCTGGCTCTTCTGTAGAGGAGTGTCCAGCTGTACGTCTGGAGGGCCCTCCAGCCCTTGTGGCTCTACTCCACTGAAAGAGTGCCGTCAATTAGTAAATTTCCCCCGGATGCTGGTCACGTGAAACCATACCTGCCTGTGCCCTTTCGTCTAGAAGTGCCCACTCGGCCACTTTCATCGAGAGAAAGATGTGGGTGGATATGGATATGGATCATCAGCTAATTGGACACACTGTAATGGGAGAGAGGGCAGGACAGGGAGCCGCGGCGCCAGTGTGTAAAGGTTCGCACGCTTGTTAAATATGGAAATGTACACACACATATTGCACTCCAGGGAACACAAACTTGCCAAGGCTGCATGGAGTGGGCAAGCTACGGCTGTGTATCTCTGGGGCACAATGCAGCCCTCTTTTATCTGGACAAAGACAGACTGAGCGGGAGGACGCAATAGAGCCAGACGGGGATGGAGAGAAGGAGAGAACGGGGGAGGGAGGTGGAGAGAAAGGGGTTAAAAATCAGCCCGGAGGGGAGTAAACTGGACTGGACACTACAGAGTCTTCACACTACTTCAAAGGTGCAGTGGAAGCGTGGTTGTAGGAGCTGGAACTCATTAGGATCCAAGAAAAGTGGTTCAGCTGGAAGTCAAGCTAAGAATTAAACATGAGTGAGGGAGCGGGAGGAGGAGGAGGAGGGGGAAGGAAAGAGAAGGGGTGGTGCAGACTGCAAGGGGAGAAAGAAAGAAAGAGAGAGAGGGGAGACAGGAGGGGAGCGATTCACCTTGTTCTCTGATCAGAGGACAGAATATAGATTAGAGAGGCAGAAGAAAGAGAGAAACACTGAGAATAAAGAATAGGGAGAGTCAAAGGAGTCAGACTGCAGGACACAGACACAATGGAGGGTGAGCATACGGAAACACAGACGCAGGCTGGTGACTTTGCAGGTGGCGTGGAGCATCAAGTTCGCATAAGGTTGTTGGTTTGGAGTATGACTCAGGGCTGTTGTTGCCCCGTCTGCACCACCACCTCCTCTCCCACTCATACTTAGACAATCTATCTATTTCTCCATCTGCACAATAGTTTTTAACCTTCGCCTGTTTAGACAAAGCTGACGGAGCACATAGAAAGTTGCACTGAAGTTTGGTTGTTATTCACCGAGTCAAACTGCTGTCCGGTAACACCACAGTCTTTTATAACTAAACCAACTGGCAACCTCTGGGGACGAAAAATGAAGCCAACGCAGAAGTGTTAGAAACGCCCAACTTTAAAGCAGAAATAACATGTTTACATCCTGGTAAAAAAAAATGGTTTTGGTCTCTAATTTCAACATTCATCACAGCTACAAGGGGGTGGGGGGCGGCACCAGTTTAAATGTTAATTTTTCGTTCATTCAATCATCTGTAATCGCTTATCCTGGCACAGGGGCTGGAGCCTATCCCAGCTGTCATTGAGCGAGAGGCAGGGTACTCCTTGACCAGGTCACCAGACTATCACAGGGCTGACACATAGAGACAGACAACCATTCATACTCACATTCACACCTATGGACAATTCAGAGTCAATAACCTGCTGTGAGATGACACTGCTAACTACTGACCCCCTGTCTGCCAGGTGTAGCTACAGCCCATGAGTCAAATCCACCCCTTGCTAATTAACAGCTCCATCCTCAAATATGGTCACTTCTGGCTCCAAAAAAACAAGATGGCGACAACCAAAATGCCTGCATCCACTATTTCACACAGTCTATGAGCTGAACGTTCATCCTCCCAAGTTCAAAGGCCTATTGTACGCATAGATTTTAATCCAAGCTGCAACCTCCGGGGCTGAAAATGAAGCCAACGTTGAAGTGTCAAAAGCTGCAGTTCCTCTAATGGCCACTTGAGGCTGGCTCCAAGAGTGTAATCTCCATAGACCCCCATGTTAAAAGGCTTAACAGCAGAAATAAAGCCTGGCATGAAAAACTGTTTTGGTCTCTACAGCTACAGTTCCTGTTCATGGAAGCTGCACAGAGGGGTCATTTTTATATAACTCACAGTTGGCAACTAAGGGCAACATTGGTTGGGTAATGTAATCATGGCATAATCACAGATTCACATGAGTATAGGCGTAGCTGTTGCTATTTCAGTCTGTTTTCAGTTCATGAAAGTTAACTGTAAAGCTTTGGTCATCTTAAAAAGTCTTGTTCAACATTTGGTTGTACTAAAAGACCCTTTATGTTGTGTTCAGACTAAGAGCGACACAGCATCAGGCTACAGGTAATCTTCAGTGGAAGCCGGTGACATGAAGCTACAAACTGATGTTAAAACATGTTGCTGCGTGCAGGTGTGATGAACTACAAATCAACATTGAGCTGGCTTCAACTTTTTTCAGCGCTCCAATGACACAGTGATATGTCAACCAATCATATGTTTTGTCTCAAGCTGTATTTAGCTCAGTTAGCTAACACTAAGCTAGCTTTCTGTGCATTGTGGTGCATACAGGGAGGCAATGAGGTGGTGAAATGTGATGTTAAAATGGGCTCAGACATTGCTCAAAAGCATGGATATGTTTTTTTGACCAAGTACAAACTTTAAATGATGAATAGTCTTGGTGCTTTGTGGCCCGTAGCAGACACACACAAGCCCATAATGATGTAACTATGTTAACAAGCGCTTAAACAACAGTTAAATGGCAACTCGGCGATACTGGAACTGGTCACACTGTTGTTGCGTTGTTGCTTGTAGTGTGAACACATCACAATACATTTTGTTTTCATGGTTTTAAGCCTGTTTTTCGCCAGTAAAAATTAGCATTAGCATTATCACAGTAGCTGTAAATGAACAGTGCCAACCCCATCTACCAGCTAGCGTTAGGGTTAGCTCCACCCAGTCATCCAAATGTGGTCACTTTTACACTAAAATGGTACTTTGCCTTGTGTTTATTTTGTGTACTGCAGTTCTTTATTTGACCATCATGTAGGGTGACATGCTGTAGGCCTTTAATTATTTATTTATCTTTGGACATGCTATTTGTGAAGGTGTCACAAAGGTCTGGTTTGTCAGGATTTGAATAAATAGCATAATTATCCTAGCTACCAGACATTTAAAGAACAAATATTTTAACTTGTGCTAGTTAACAATATTTAAACTCAGTCCAAAGAACACTGCAAAATATAACAAAATTAGTATTAATACAGGAACACACATAAATTAGGCTTGTTTCCCTAAGTCTGGGAAGCGTTCCCACGCATTTACTCCCAGGACACTTCAGTATCTGAACTTCACTGTCTGTGATGTTTTTCGTCTTCATCTTTCTCAGTTGCTCCTTTTGTCAACATGTACCTCAACATTAAGGGGACTGAGACTCAAAGGGACGGGGCTGACCATACTTGGCATTCTGGGTGCATTTTGGTATGGTAAAGAGCCTGTACGTGCACAAGCAGATGAATATAGAATAGGTGAGATTTGTCAGTGTTGTTTGAATGAAGGTGTGAGTACGCATGTTTGGCACAACTTGCACTACTAATGTTCTGGTTTTTACATAAAGTTTCTGAGCAAACATGCTTTGATAAACAAGGCCTCTGAGGTCAACAGCATCACGGCTCAGCTACCATCTCCACCTGGGATCCGACAAGAGTAACTCACCACAGTCTCACTGGACCCAAAAACATGTCAACACTGGGTTGTTACCTAAAAGTTACATGGTGTCAGTTTAAAGCCACCTGCAGTCTATTTTAGCATTTTTAAAGTATGTCGTTTCCTGACAAGGTTGATTACCTACACTCTCCCTTTAATATTTTAGGACAAATAATGTGCTCAAAGTTTACAAAGTTGTTGCTATAACGGGAGGATGACGTATGACTATAACAGAAGCTGCAGGTCACATGTCATCCTCCAAACACAGGTGCACCGTCATAAACCTTATAAACATAATTGTGAGCTACCCAGTCAACTTATCTTGTATTTTAGGGACTGTTCTTTACTTATCTGACGAGGAGGGTGGCTGAAGTGTGACTTTTTATTCTTTATATTTTTACCCTTCCCTAAGCTATAAATATTTTTCCTTGAGCCTCCCTGAGTGACTTTTCAAAACGTACCCTTTAATATTTGAAAGTTAAAATTTGAAGATGAAATCTCCAAATTTTAAATTAGACATAGAAAGAAGTGATTTCTGATGAGATATTATTTCAAAGTCAGATTTGGTTATGGGTTTTTTTTTCCTGACTGAAAAAAAGGATCATTGGAAATTAGTTTAGTTAATTAGTTTAGTCTGTTGTTTATTTTCAGTATGGCATCCGTGTGCGTGGTGAACAGGTGTAATTAATGGTGTGGATTACACAAAATCCCACCGGCAGAATCAGCACAACACACCGACTGTCTCCCTCCCTCCCTCTCTTCTTTACCATCTCCTGTCCACAGAGCATCACAGGATGGTAGAACATGTTGCAGAGGTACAACATTTGAAATGCAGTTTTGGGTTGTTTTAAGGCTTGGATCATCCACCAGCACCGGCCTCTAACAGGTACAGACGCTGGGAATAGCGCAACTTTGAGCCCAGACATGAAGGACATCCCCATACATCAACAAGAGAAAAGTTCCATGAGAGAAACAATAAAATAAAAAGAATCAAAGTGCTGCCTGGGGCAGTGTCGGTGCTGGGAGTTGAGGTGAGAGCAGATGGTACTGGTGAACGATGCACCTCCAAAATGTCCCATAACTGCATTTCAAACAGCAGACCTGAGCAACATATCTATCCCTCCTGCAGTACACTGTGGCTGGTGTGCAGTGGTGCAGCTCCTCAGTGCAGCAGCAGCCAAATGCCACCTCACCTAAATTCATCAAATTCAGGGCCAAATCGCTGTTTTCCAAGCTAATGTAGCTGCAATCTGGTTGCCATGGTTATGGATTACGTCCAACTATTAAACGCACCCCCATTTTCTGTTTGAGGAAGAACGTTAACCGTTAAACAGGAAGTCACTCTGGCTGGAGGGGAGCTTTAAGCAAATCCAGCTACAAGTTCTGTCTTCCTCTCAGTGTCTGAGTAGCTGCAGGTCTGACTGTTACAGAGATCATTTTAAGAGGAAGCCTCAGTGTGCAAACGAGGGACATGCAGTACTGTACCAGAAATGTGCAGCAAAACATGCATAATTAATTTTCACTTTCTAAAAATCATGTCTTATAGAGCATGTCTTTTTGCTCCTACTAACTGTGCACAGCATAATCCTCTGAGTTATCATTGTTGCAGTTACATTAAGATGAACACTTGTCCCCAGTATTACATGAACACTATTTTTATGTTATAAAAACTAGGGGAAAAAAACAAAACAGGCAGCAACCTGCAAGGCTGACAAATGACACCAACACGCAAGTGCCAAAAAACTGCAGTTCCTCTAATGGCCACTTGAGGCTGGCTCCAAGATCAAGTCAATCCTCCTAAACTCTCATGGTTAAATGCCCAGCTTTACAGCAGGAATAAACATGTTTACAGCCTAGAACAAAAAACAATTTTGGTCTTTATAGCTAATGTCAACATTCATGACAACTTTAAAGGGGGGGGCAAATTTGTATACAACTTACTAGTTTAAATGTTATTAAGACTTAAAGGTATGTTATCTGCAGAGACTCTGCCCTCTGCCTGTGTTTTCTATTTTTGTTCTGAATTTATGTGCTTGGGATGTTAACAATTGTTCACCCCCATTGCTCAGGTGAATACAAGGCTTTATAAAAAGGCAGTGACCAGGTGCCAGACCATAAGCAGCAAGCATCCAAGAGACACAGTGTCGAAAAAACGCAAATATAGTGAGGCAAAATGCCAAACGAGAGAGAATCTTGGGTTGGCTTTCACTGATGAGCGTGTTTACAAACTAATTGCCAATCCTGCTGAGTTTATCTTTAAAGTTATGCAAAATTCAGGCCAGGGATGGTGCTGTCTGTTGACAAACCACTACCATGGTGATGCTGGTTAGGTAACACAACCATGGCTTAACCCCAGATTCACAGAGTATAGATCAGTGGTTCCCAACTGGTGGGTCACCATCCAAAAGTGGGTCGCAGGCTCATTCTGAATGGACCACAAGTGACTCGCAAACATGTCAAGTTTGTAAAAAACACACTTTATTTTTAAGTACAGTGAATTTCCAGCACAGAGTTTTTATTTTGAAGTGCCATTTCCTGCTGTAGATTGAGTGAAAACCAGACAGCTACTTGACTGAGACAGCAAACTAGCTCAACTACATGGCCAAACGCAAGTGTTATGCTAAATATATTGAACTGTGTGGACCTTGAACTGATGACTACGGAGAAATCTGGATCCTGTGGCTGGACCAGTTGGGAACCACTGGTACAGATGTAGCCTTAGCTATTGCTATTTCACTGGGTTCATGAAAAGTACTTGTGATATTTTGGTGGCCTAATAAAGTCTTGTTTAGCGTTTGGTTGTACTAAAGATCCTCTCAGGCGTTGGATGTTCAGTTTTTCCAGTAAGAACATTTTGTTTTAATGGTTTTTCACTAGAACAATAAAACACATTGGGCTCAGTGTGCAAGGTTTCTTATTTTCTGCTGATGGACTATAAAAAACACATCCGAAAAAAAACATGGACTCAGTGTGCAAAGGCCTTTACTCTGACATTCTTACTCCAACATTAACCTAACTCCTCTTGCCTAAACCTCACCAACGTAACAAAAGCAATGAGCACCATCAGAGGGAGAGTTGGGCGGGTCATGCCTTTACCATCCTAGGAAAAACAAAATTAGACCATTGTGCTAATAAGCTAGCAGCTAGCATTGGGCTTAGCTACACCCTCTCACTCAAATAGGGCCACTTCTGGCTCCAAAAATTCACGATGGTGAGGATCAAAATGCCAAACTCAAGGCTTTAAAAAGTCTGTGATTTTTCGACACTTTTTTGGGCAGACTGAATGCAGCACAGACACACTAAAGGATGACTCCATAAAAAATACTACAGAAATGACTGGTAGTATGCAATAGCTTTCCGAACTTTTAAAATGATCAGACAAGCATTTTTAATACATCCCCACTCACACGGAGCCTGTGCTGCAGTGTATTGCTCAAAGGCACCTTTGCTGAGTTGATAGAATCTAATCAGAGTAGCGCCTGTAAAGCTTTAGGCTTAAAATGCTTAAAAAGTGAAAATCAGATGATAAGAGATGAGATGCAGATAGCAGACAGATACCTGTGGACCAATCAGGTACTGCACCTACAGGATACGGCTGAATATAGACACATGCACACACACACAAGCACACACTTGCTCCTTTTCTCTCACCCTCTCCCACTGTCTCTCCTTGTTGAGCAGAATGATGACCAGCTTGGGGTGCATCTGGTATCCGTCCTCACTGAACGACAGATTACGCCCCTCAAACGTCACATTCATCAGGTACCTGTAGAGAGAAACATCAGAAAAAAAAGAGGCTCATTGAGACATATATCACTTCCTGAAAAATATCTCTGTCAGTGGCGTCTCTCAAATGTTTTATTTGCTCTGTGCGTCTCTATCATTCCTTGTTCGAAGACTCAATTTTGCAAACATTAAACTTTCATGGACTGTCAGTTTATCTCTCGAGCATTTATCTCTTCAGACACTGACATTACATAAATTCATCATCTGCTAGGAAACAGCGATCAGCCAATGTCTAAGCGGGGTTTTCATAAATAGCTGAACATACATTAGTCATCAGCTGCACACAGACACTTGAACAAAACAGAAGCGATGATTTTAAGATGGGACTGAGGGAAATTAATTTGAGAAAATTATCTCTGCAATCATCCCAGGTTCAATGTGTTCACCCCTTACTGATGTGAATTAAAGGAACAGTTCCATAATTTGGGGAAATACAGTTATCTGCTGGAGACAGTAGAATGAGAAGATTTTTCTCTCATATCTGTCCATCAAATATGAATCCACAGCCAGCAGCCAGTTAGCTTAGCTTAGCACAGAGACTGAAAACAGGGTAAAAAGCTAGTTTGGCTCCGTCAGACTATAACAAAATCCACCTGCCAGCACCTCTACAGCTAACACGTTATACCTTGTTTGTTTAATTTGTCCAAGTGTAAAAACGCCAATTGGCATTTCTACTGGGAGTGATGTGCTTAACTTTTTTTTGGCTGGGAGCAGTTTCCAGGCAACCAGCTGAGATTGGAGGACTTTATTTATTAGCCTTGACCAAGAAATACTGTAATATATAAACCTTTGCTGTTTTTACACTTGGTTTTTATACAGATTAAACAAATTATGTGTAAACATGTACATTAGTGAGCTTTGAGGCCCAGACTTCAAAGAACTACTGGCAGCGAAGGCCAACTATCGTCTGTGTCTTGGCCAAAAAGTTGCACCTGAACACACCACAAAGACTACAGCCAACGTCCAACTACACATATGTTTTTTGCCTGGGTGAGAACAAATAACTGTCCACACCAGCACACGATGGTAGTCTGTGTTCATCTTTTAAAAAGGGAAATTGGAAGGCTGACAGGATGGATCCAACACCTAATGTCTCTGGAACAAATTGTATTTCCTGTGTATCAGCGAAAAATAACGCAACAAGCCACAAACTGTTTCTGTGAATGAGCTCAATGGCTAAAAACATAATCTTACCTAATATGACAAGTTCGTTTTGATCTCATAAATGCTTGACTTTAGTCATTTGTTTACTTTCCTCACTTCTGTTTCTCTTCTCGTGCTCTGAGTTGAACTGCCAATCAGAAAGATTTTATTCACCACCTCCTCTGACGCTGATTCAACATGCTGAATCAGCCGGAAAAAAAGCTGACAAGAGCCGACAAGGGCTGACTAGTGCCAACAGTGTGGGACACAACGCCAAAACTAGGGCAACAGTATCTCGAAGACAGTCCGAATTTGACCAAAAGCTGACCGTCGACTCGATGTGTCAGGGCCCTGAGACGTGCTGGTTGGTGGATTTTGTTACCTTTCAACAAAGGAAGGCTAACAGCTTCCCCTTATTTCCAGTTTTTGTGCTAAGCTAAGCTAACCGCCCAGTCTTTACTTGGCTGGCTGGAGATTTCTGCATGACTAATTTATAAAGGAAGTGATACAAACAGAATAAACACTAAACTAGGGCTGCACAATGTATTGTTTTTTTTTTTTTTTTAAATCATCGTGGTGACACAAACACACACACACACACACACACACACACACACACACAGAAACACCGTGATGTTGCACTAAAGGATTTTTCAAGTTAGTTGAAAGAGAGTATGAGTAGAAAACAGCACATTAAAATGTAGCTATTATTCTTTTTCTTTTACTGGTGCCTTTTGTGTTCACTTCAATGTTCAATTTTGTTTCAACAAGCAATTTGTTGAATGTTTTACCAGAAAAAAACAGCAGAGAGGCAGAACTGAGTACACTTTAATATCTGTTTATTATAAGTAATATCATTATTGTGATATTAAACATTATCCTACAATCTAAACGCATCCATCATAATAAACTTAATTCATATAACACCTTGTAAAACACAGTTACAAAGTGCTTAACAATGAAACTAAACATTTAAAACACAAGGAGAATGAAACAAACTAAAATGTCATAAAATATGACCAAAGTAAAAGATAAAATAAAAGAAGGCTAAAACTAAAATTAAAATAATAAATGAGTAGATCGATAAGAAAGCAATAAATAGACCGCTCAGATATAATCTGGATATGCTCTTAGATAGAAGTGTGTTTTAAAGAAAGACTTAAACAAAGACAATGACTCAGACAGCCTTATATCCATCGTCATCATCATCACTGCATGGACATGTCAGCAAAAAAAACCTACAGCTGGAGCGCCCACTAGCTCAGCCAGTAGAGCAGACGCCCCACGTACATAGTCTTGTCCTGGCCAACCTGCAGCCCCTTGCTGTCATCATGTCACATGTCATCCCCTCTCTGTCTTCTCCCTTCACTCTGGATCTGTCCTGTCTGATAAACGCAAAATGCCCAAAAAAAATAATCTTAAAACATAAAAAATCTGTAGTCTACAATTAGATGTTATTTATAGAAACTCAAGTGTCACCTGAATGTTGAATTTGAAATCACTGTTTGGACTTAACTTGAGCAGTATTTGAATTTGTATATTGTTAAATATGTCATTTTGAAGTCACTGAAACTGCACTTGCAAATGCAAATAAAATCTGTCAGAATTGAAAATGTATTTCATATTATAAATGTATTTTTGTTATATCTAGCTGGACACGTGGATGACTACATTAAAAAACAATCACTGAAACAGATGAAAATTTGGTTACACCGCCTTAGAGATAAACTGACCAATTCTTACACTAAGTGTTTTTGTGTCCGTTTGACAAATCATAAAGCAGCTCTGGGAGAGAGGAGGGTGATGAGGAGGCAAAAAAATGCAATGCAGTTTATGTCTGGCCTTAAATTTAACGTTAAAAAAGTACTCTGTAATACACCAACAGCAGCTTTTTAGATCACTGTGTGTTAGTGTGTGTGTGTGTGTGTGTGTGTGTGTGTGTGTGTGTCTGCTACAGTCTGTGTGTTTGTGTGGCGGAGAAAGAGAAACCGAGAGAAAGCAGCATTGTTTCTGTCAGGTGAAATCATTTCACCTCCCTTCAACTAAACACAGCGCACACACACACACACACACACACATACACATATACACAGCATACAACACTCAACACTGTATTCTCTTGCAGTGATTATGGTGAATGTGCGTGGGAGTGTGTAAGTGTGTATATGAGAACAGGAATGTTTATGTCAGGTGAACTCAAATCACTTCACTGTCATCCCACACACACACACACACACACACACACACACACACACACACAATCTCTTAACTCTTTCACTCCCTCACCCTTTACTCTCTCTTCTTCCCTCTCTCTGACTGTTTCCATGGAAACACTGCCTCAAAACCGTGCAGACCATATATATGAAGATGAATATATAAATAACAAAAAAAAAGGTGTGTGTGTGTGTGTGTGTGTGTGTGTGTGTCTAAAGACTTGGCTCGGTGCCGGTGTGCTGATGAGGTCTGCAAACAGTGGACTGGGTCGTGCATCAAGTGATCACCAGCAGAACCAGTTTGTCTTGAACCATCATTTCCCCTCAGTAGAGAGCGATGACGCTCTGCCTCACTGCAGCTCCTCCTTAAAGGGATAGTTCGGATTTTTTTAAAAGTGGGGTTGTATGAGGTACCAATGCATAGTCAGCGTGTTACCTGCAGTAGATGTGAGTCGGCACGCTACAAGTTTGGGGAAGCTGGCTGGAGTCTGACACAGAAACTAAGCAATGTACTGCTGTGGAGGGGGCAACAGCAAAATATATTTTAGCCACCTAAAGAGTGTTGTCACCACTTTACCTTTCCATCAGCCAGCCCGTTCCAACAGAGAAGCCGTTAATGGCTTCAGTTTGCCATCTATGCTCTCTTCACATCCACCAGACTCCATTGACAAAACAGTCATTTTAGCTCGCTAATCACAGGAGCTGCTGGTCTACTGCTGCCTTGATCATTTAGTTAGTTAGTGTTCTTGTGTGACTTTGGCGACTCTGACCTAACCCTTTTAAACACCAGAGTCACAAAATAACACAAACTAACTAACTAATCGAGGCAGCAGCAGACCAGCAGCTCCTGTGTTAAGCAATGGTTAAATCACTGTTTTTTTCAATGGAGTCTGGCTTTGAGGAGAGTGATGTAAAGGCTCTATGTTCCAGCTGGAAATCACTGTCTGACATTAAGGTAACTCAGTCAAAATATTCTAAATATAGCATACACTTAGACTGACACTGATTTTTTTGGGTGGTGCTTTTTTTTAATTGGCTAAAAAACATTTAGTTGCTGACCCCTCCACAGCTGGAGATTGCTGAGCTTCCATGTCAGACTCCAGCCTGCTTCTCCAAACTGGGGGCATGCTGACTGACATCCGCTGCAGGTAAATACACTGACTATACCTCACACAACCCTGCTTAAAAAAATGTGAACTATCCCTTTAACATTACACACAACTCCCCTGCTCAGAGTTCAAGTTGTTCTACCCTGAACCATGTCTGACCTTTTAGCTGGAGCAGTTCACTGATCAGATCAGGAAGCCGTGCAGAAATATCACACTCTCATTTAAATGTTGTTTCTTTGTTCCTGTGTATCTTCTATGTGAGTCCTATGCGCTCCATAATGTAATGCAATAATCCAACAATTACTCTAATGCCGGCTTCCTTATTCTATTTCCTGTATTAAATATTGGTACTTTCAATGGGCCGTGATGAGCATCATAGCGTCTCATGCAGCCCCATGTGTCCAGCTAACCGCCCCATCCTGTAGAGCCTTGGCACTGATACAAAGTGCACCGAATCTGCTGCATAAATCATAAGCCATTTACAAAATGACACGACGCTGCGCCCTCTTTAATCT